TGGGCAGTATTGCCACGGCCCCGCCCACCAGTGGGCAGGACATGAGATTTTGTTGCAGACTCGTACACGGCGCGGTGGTCGTTTGTTTTGTGCAAAAGTCCAGCACAGCTCGTTGGCGGGTGTTACTTTACGGTACGACAAAAAATTATAACAACAAAAATAAAACAAAACAATCACAGTGTGGCGATTCACTTACATTCACCCTCCTCAAAACAGTGGGTCTCACGATATTGAACACCGCCGCCACAGCTGCTGGTACATTGCGTCCAATCACCCAACTTCCATGAATACCTCTTCCCTCTGGTGTTGTTAACCGCAGGCAAAGTGAATTCGTAGTAAATGCTTGCATTCAGTACCTCACCGCGAACAATTACCTTATTATTAATGCATTGTAATAACAATATACATATATATTAATGATAATATGTAAGTAAATTGGGGCATAAGAACATAAAGTAAAATTGCATAGAATAAAATAAAATAAGTAAAGAAGTCTGATTACACTGTGCGACGAAATCCAAAAAATTTCAAAACGCCCAAAATAAGCACTATATTCACGAAACTATGCGCCAGATATAGTGAAACTGCTTATTTAGTTTTTCTCTATAAAGTCAGCATTTTTTAGAATAATAAACTTGGTACCAAATGAAGTAAAAAATTCTGTAGACTTGAAAAAAATTTAAGTCTTTTCGTCCACAAGGATGAATAGGTATTGAAAATGCAATTTTAGTTAATTATATTTTTTTAAGCTCTTTAATAAAATTGGCAGGGCGGCATTCAAGGATGTGGTCATGTGTATATTAGTCCTTAACATTACTTTTTTTTTCAAAAATACATACTGCAAATTTTCAAGGATATTTAAGGATAGCACCAAAAAATTGATTAATTCCACAGAATTTTCTCTATTATATGGTACTCATATTTTTATTCTATATTGCACTGACTTTTTTAAATAGTTTTTTAAATAAATGACACCTTTAAAATTCTAAATCCTTTTAACGAAAGTCCTGGCGTCATAGAAAAAAATTAAAAACGTAGTTTTACTATTTTTGGCCCCTAGTTTCGCAAATATATTGATTTTTTTGTGTGTGTAAAATTGAATGTCGCACGGTGTTATAATGCAACGGCTACGCTTGCTTGTCAATGTCGAACGAATTGACAGAAATGCTCCAGCTCTGAAAGTATTCAACGCGGCTCGCGATGCTGGTAGCAGGGGAACAGGAAGGCACCCTCTGCTTTTCAAAGATAAAGTGGAGAAGGGCTTGGCTTCACTTGGCATTTCCAATTGGCGGCAGTTGGCACAGAAGAAACGACTGGCGTGCGTTTTTGGGCTTGGCCAGAACAGCCTAGCCGTTTACACCGCCAGTCAAGAAGTCTAAAGAGCGATTTAAGTGATTTTGCTATACATAACGCAAACGGTTTTGTTAAATTTCAACATGGCGCCCAGAAAATCAATTTTGATTTCAGTTTAAATTTCCCTCGAGCGGTTTGTGAAACCTTCAAGCGTAGCACACCCGTACACAACACACAAATGGCTTAAAGCACAGAGTTTGCCACGTCAATTGTGTGGTTTAATTCGTTCTTAAGATCGGGCGAAATAATAAGACAAGAAGCAATGTGTTAACCAAAGCGGTTGTTGAGATTATAAGTAGGCGGTGTTATAAAAATCAAAATTTATTGTTTAAAGGTGTTTTGAAGCATCAATTTTGTCCGAATTTGCTTGGGTTCAATTCTGTCGATTTTAAATACAAAATTTGCCTGAGGCTATCAAAAACTTACTCCTAAAGATTTGTTGAGCTATCCATATTTCTACAGCAGTTGTTTAGTGTACAGGTGGTAAGTGGGCGTGAATTTTGATCGATTGCTTAATAAGACAGGAAACGATAATTTTACCGTGTTCAATAGATTTTGAGCGAGTTGTTTTAGGTAGGTGTGGCTGCCACTGCTGCGGATGGACATATATAGGCGACGAATTGAAGGCCCGTAGTGATACCACAACTAAGAGTTTTAACTTCCCTTGCTGAACCATTTTGAATACTTGACGAAACTCGTCAGGCACCTAGGACTTAAAACTCCCAATTTGTCAAGGTCACTAAAGAAATGAGGCCCAGAAAGCACTATCTGCCCCTCGACAATACCGGACAGTAACAGAGAATGTAGAGAACTAGCTCTCCCCTTGCTTAAAGACTATGGCAAATTCTAGCTTTTAGCGAGTGGGCTTCTGTAGGCATTGAAATCTCGTAGTTTTTGCATTTTTTCAAAAATATCACTATGTATAGGAGGAGTGAGCGGATAGTATTCGATTTTGCCCATTTTAATTACCACGCAGCCTAAGGCAAAGGGACAATTTTTGTTTGAGATATCTCAAATTAGACTTCAAAAATAAAGCGTTCTTTTTTAAATCAGATAAATATGTATGTATGTACTCACATGCACTGTTATTGGATTTTCAATTGGTTGAGGAATTTTTATGCTCTCTTGTTCGTCTGCCCGATCATATAAGCTTTCTGTGCCTGCGACATTAAATTCTCCTGGCATCGATATAAGACTATCGCCATTTAAATAGAAATAACTACTGTTTGCCTTTGAAATGCCGAGAAAATGTTGCGAGTTGGTTAGCTCCTTTATGATAATGTGGCGCGCCTTAGCAGGAATAGTGACAACTTCTACATAGCCATCGGTTATGTTAAAACTTTCCTCAAATCGTTCCTGAAACATCAATCGCAATATACCAACTTCATCGACTTTTTCTTGCTTTACTCACCTTTATAAACTTACATTGATCGTTATTGCCACCACATACCCCGCACTGATCTTCTTCCATATCGGAGTCCACAATCCAATCACATCCAACTTTCTAAAACGCAGTTCAGTTAACTGATTACACTGCTCAATCGCCATTTTAGGGACTCGACGAAATATTGTTCACACATTAGTATTTATCCGTGGTAGTCTAATTTCAAAAGGACTTTGCTCCACAGGCTTACTTTGGCCACTATTTTATATGTACAAAGAGCGTATGTGAATCGGTAACAAAGTTCGCGGCGAGTAAATTTTTGACAACTATGAGGTCAACAAATTTTTAGTAGCTCATGAGGCTAGTCAAATTTTTGACAAATGCATAGAAAATTTTGACAATCGCAAAGATTGTTGATGTGTATAATTTTTCGTTAAATAAAAGCTTAAATTGATGAATTGCAATCAACGATGGTAGATGTTTTCTTAAAATATTAATTTCACTTAAATTTTTTTTTACTGCTGTTAAAAAAGATTTCAATTCGCACAGCTGATTGGCAAAACTGTCTCACCATAGTAAAAATATTATTCAACAACTTTGTTACCGATTCACACATGTCTTAAGAAATTGTATTCTTGAAGAAAACCCACCTACCTCTCAGGGATACTAACGATTGGACATTATTTCGTCGATGCCATTAAAACAATCCAAAAATTGATGTAATATGGAACGATTTTCCGTCATCCCTTGTCAAATATGGTTTGGAGACAAACCGGTTTCGGCGTTGTGCCATCTTCAGTGTCATTTTTCGAAAAAAAAACCAGACAAGGGATGACACAAGGGAAAACACCAACAACGAAAATGTGAATCCCAACATTGTTTCACGGTGTTACCAAATAAATTTCAAGTATATGCATATAAATATATGTATGTATACGTCTCGTGTCTCACCTTGCAAATTCCATCGATGCACATATTATTGGTGCCAACGCGACAAGGAGTCCCATCTGCGACCATTTCACCCCAGTTTGCTATAATCGTATCGTCGACATCAGTACACTGCAACTTGCACGGGTTCTCTGGAAATTTCAAATCGTGCTTTCAATTATACCTAGGCAAGATTTAGAGATTTTTTTTATTTTTATTACAATTAATTACTTTTATCGAAAAATGGTTGCCATTTATAAGTTCCACCCTGATAGCACACATTGTCATACTTTGAACATTGCTTTGCTCGAAAACTGACCTCCCGCGCCGGGCATGGTTGATAGTTGCATATTTTATATCTAAAATGTGGATAAAAGTTGTAATGAATTTATGTGCATCTGTCTGTATATATGTATGTAGGTGGATTCAAACCTTTTTCTCTCGCCGATGCAAAAGAGACCCCCATTCGCCGGAACCGGATTGTTGCATTCCCGTTTTTGCGTAGACACGCCTCCACCGCAAGTTCTCGAGCATTCACTCCACTGAGACCAATTGCCCCAATTGCCGTTAACGGGCAAAGCTTGCTCAATAGGCACACACTTCCCATTCTGGCACCACTAAAATATGCAAGAATGTCGAATAAATCTTTACTATCGCAATATATGGCTTCCTTTACATTATAGAATTATATAGAAACTAACCTTTCCATCGCCACAACTGGTTCCCGGTGCCGTCGGCCGCATATTCGTTACGCATTCGCCATTCACTCTGCACCACAAAGCCGAACAGATTTCATTCATGGACGTACACGATGACGCATCGAGGTCGGAGTCCGTAAGATTGAACTGCAACCGGCATTGCCGCTCGGCGTCGAAAAGTACTCCGGGAGGCAGAGCAGGGTAAACGTATTTTTTTACCGCAGTTGGTGTATTATCTAAACAATTGCCTAGACCCTGGCTGTGCGACAACAAAATTTTAATGAATGTACAAATGTCAATATTGGTTCGTTAAGAATCTTCCAACTGGAAACATACTCGAGAAATTGTGTAATATATTTCCGACTGCAATTCGACCAGCTAACTTGCAAGGTATCGGCACCAAAAGTCGGAGTCATTATGTGAACAATTGAGCCGATTCGAGGATGGCATCCGATTTTTGCGGTATCGTGGAACATGCCGAAACTACGGTAGAAATAAATGTTATTTTTTTCGGTACACATTTAGGGGTTTCACAAAATGTTAAGATCGTAAAATTGTTTTTTTCTTGCATAAAAAAAAAAATTAATTAAAATATACAACTATGAGTTCTGTGTTTTCGGTGCGTATTAACGGCATAACATATCGATGACTGAGTGGAAGATCGACCTATCTCGGCACCCATTTCGAAAACGCCCTATCTCAGAAAACTTTTCAAGAAAGCCCTACATCAGAATTTGATTGAAAAACGCCCTATTTCAGAATTTGATTGAAAAACACCCTACCTCAAACGAAAATATGTACATTGAAAATAAGCTAAAATAGGGTATTTTTGAATCGGCAGCTGAGATAGGGCATTTTTTAATCAAATTCTGAAGAAGGGTGTTGTTGAAAAATTTTCTGGGACAGGGCGTATTCGAACTGGCTGCCGAGATATGATGTCGATCTTCCATTCAGCCATCGATATGTAGTTTTAAAGGGTTGCTCACAACTTGTGTAATTTTTTAAGATTTTTCCTTCGGACTTCTAATTTTATGAGACTTTGTGTATCCCCCAATTGTATTCAAATATGTAAGCTTTGTATGTATGACTAATTGTACAGTTTGGATGTTTTCATAAATTCTAAAAAAAAACTTTAAGCCCTTGGGATAAATGCAATCACGCTAGGCATTCAATAAATAATCAGATAATTTAACGGTATCGTTTCAAATAAGAGATTGTTATATTTTCGCGCCTTTCCTAACGTATGAAAATGATTTTATGAACAACTTAAAAAAGTAGCGATTCCCAGCAGCGGAAATCTTTGTAATGCACGAATGGAAACTGTCAGGTCTTAATTTGCTATTAAAATGTCGTAGCTCGCCATACCTCTCAGCTTGTTAAACCATTTATGAATTCAATTTCTATGACGTAAATAGCGTTTAATAGATAGTCGTCCATTAGCTACTGAATAACGCAACACACTCCGATGATTAAGTCATTCAATGCTGAGTCATTCAGAACTTGGTAGACTGTGTGGCTCTTGGTAGCGCTCATTTATTACAAACTCAAACATCACAGATTAAGGCGAAAAACAAAGCGTCGTAAGCCCCCTGTAGGAAAATTGACTGATCTACTGATTCGATACTAGTGCAATTAGACACTTAAAAATATTAACTATGTAGTAGTAAATTGTCTCTCAACTGGGGAGCTTTTCCATTCACTTTACATTTAGATCCCATTAGGGCCCGACCTTCACCCAAGTGTATATTCTCTTGAAAATTTTCACCGGCGAAAAATTTCGTTCACCGAAATGGCTCACCTTACAATGAATGTGGAACGATTTCGAGTGAACGACATTTTACACAGAAATTTCAAATATGGAATAACGTCAAAGCCATTAAATAAAATTTCAGTAAACAACCAGTTTTGAACGTACATACGAGTATTTCCTATATTTGTGAATTGTTTTGCGGTTTTATCGGTGCGAGTGAAAGTTATCTCACCGGTGAATAGGGTATACGATAGGGTGGTGAAAATGATTTGAAGTGAACTACTTTGCTTGGTGAACATACAGTAGGTGAATGAGTCAACACGGAATGGAAATTCATGATAAGGCTGCGAAAAACCCGGCATAAATTCCGGTTGCCGAACTTTTAAAACAGAATACATTGTAAGAAAATCACAAGTTTTGAAATGTAACAAAAAACGCCGAGACACGTAAATTTAATTTTCAGTCGTGAATTGCGGATCTGTAGACCATTTTTCTACATCAGGTCATTTTCCCCAGATATTTTTATTTTTATGAAAAAGATTCAAATTGTACTAAGAAAAATTTGTTTTAATATGTTGCTTTGCAAAAAAGCAGGACAGGAAATAATGTTACTCATACGCCGTATCGTAAATGGCCGTACTTGTAATACTCGTACATGACATATGAGTAACATTTTCCATGTTAAAGTTTGATGGCTTTCATTCGTACGTAAACTTAATATAAAAATATATCGTGGCAAAAATGTCGTGATCTAGAAAAATTTTGCACAGATCCGCAATCTACGACCCAAAATTAAGTTTACGTGTCTCGGCTTTTTTTGTCATTTCAAAACTTGAGATTTTCTTACAGTGTATTTTGATTTAAAAGCTTGCCAACCGGAATTTAGGCCTTATAGCCTCGGGCTCGCAATAAAATTTTCTTTATCTTGATACCAAATTTATTTATTAACTAGGTGAGTGAAAATTACTAGTATTACTTACCTGTTCTTACCAGCCTGCCCGATAGGTAAAAATTGAGTGGAAAATTTAAAAAAGTAATAATTTTTGATTATTTAATTTAAAATATCTTGGCCAGGATTTTTTCAGCCAACCCGCCCCTGAAATATTTTCAAACACGTTAAATTTCATACAAAATAGATTCCATCCATTAAACAGATGGGTGAAGGTAGCGCCCTAATTGGATATCCTACTATCCAGTCGAAAAGCCACATTCTGTTGGTGCCACATTTTCATTTTTCTGACAATGACGAAAATTGTACTTTCACTCTCTGAACAAGAAATTTGTTAAATTTTTTCCCTGCAGGGCTATGTGCACACTTATGTACTTCTATATAATAATTATTGAGTATTAATAGGTATGTATGTGTATGTGCGCACATACTATTAATTTCATAGTTATGCAGATATTACAATAAAATAAGCAATAATACAAGATAGCCAGTGTAGGAATGTAAACAAGTTGAAACTACTAGAAAATATTTGTGTACAATTAGTCGTACTTATGTACATGCATTTATGTACATATTATTCAGAAGTCTGCATATATCTATTCTAACGGAAAATTTAATTATATTGTGCATATACAAATATACCCCAGTGAAATAATTAAATGCGCCGCACTTCAACCAGTTAAATGAAAAACCTATAGTAGATCTTTGATGTTTTTCTCTATAATTATATTCATTAACTCTATCAAGAGAAAATAAAAAAAATGTATAAATATACATTAGTTTATAACAAAATAATTTAATTGTACCATTACCCTATGGCTGAAAAAAGCACTTGCTGCGGCCAAAAGTACAATTTTCAGTTTTTGCTTTCAAAATTTTTAACAGGCGGCATTTATTCATATTGTGACTTTCTGTCCGATATGATATATATGTTATCAAACCCGATCTCAGGACAAACTAGTTTTGCCTAGGCTAAATTAGATCAGGGGCCACAGTATTTTTGCGCAGAACACCTTTCCGCGTTCAAAAAATTAACCCTCATCCGTCCAACTCCAGGTACGCAGTCCACAATATTGTTGCGTCCAACTTATTTCCGCAATGGACAGATATATTGGATCTAGGCAGAACTAGTTTAGCCAGGGAAAAACTATTTCATATCTGATAAAAGGGCATTACATCTATGTACTTTCATTTGATATATAGATTGTCTGCTGCATCTTGCTGCTCTTTGAAAAAATTAATTACTATTTTCAGACGTCATCAAAATCAAAAATGAACAAATATTCAACGTGTCGATGTGTTGGAAGTCCATTTCTTTTAAATGCGACATACATGCTTTTACCACAGATTCGGATTCTGGGCACAAAAATACGTAACTTTTGTCAGAAACGTTGCTCTAGAATTGTAGTCAACTACGAAACCCTCACTAGGTGGCAACACCACATTGAGC